ATGGCCACTTGTAGAAGAATGAAACTAAACCCCTATCTTTCACAAAAGTCAACTCCAAATAGATTAAAGACCTCAATGTGAAACCTGAAACTCTGAAAATGTTAGAAGAAAACATTGGCAGTAACCTACAAGATACAGTTCTAGGACAGGATTTTCTAAATTGGACATCAATTGCTTAGGAAATAAGGTCAAGAATCAACAATTGGGAATTCATTAAACTAAAAAGATAGCTCTTAAATTTATTTCTGCTTAATCAAAGCAATTCTCAGCTGCTGCACGGGACTGATTCTGGTTCTTCAGGCTTTCCTGGAGAACCCCTGTCCTCACACTCTTCCTCCTCAGGGGTGTCCTGCAGGGCTCTCTGCAAAAGCAGCTTGAGAGTCCTGTGCTGAACCCTGCGATGCCTAATGGAGCCAAGGAAAAAGTAAATGATGGGGTTGGCACAGCTGTTCATACTAGATAAGAACGTTACTATGAGAAAAAAATGACAAATGAAAGCATCGTTAAAATTCTCAATCCATGTTAAGATGAAACTGCAGATCCCAAAGGGCAGTCCAAAGAGCAGGTAGGCCATCACTGTGAATGCAATGGTCACATACAGTCTGGTCACAGGAATCCGCTGTGTGCCACAGAAGATCCTGACCAACAGGGTCAGACTGGACCCAGAGAGAACTACAAATAAAAAAATTAACCAAGCAAAGGCAATGAAATCAAGTGTCGAACACATATCGTGGTCAAAATCATTAAACAAGTCACCACATCCTTTCCCTTCAAGGAGGCTCAACAGCAGAGACAAGGCCCAGAGCAGAGCACATGTGACAGCTGACATGTGTCTCGGACGTTGACAGTGGTACCAGATGGGCCACATGACAGACAGGCAGCGCTCAGCGCTAATGGCACTGAGCATACTCAGCCCAGCAAGGTACGTAAAGGTGAACACAATGTTGAAAAACTTAGGAATGGGAATGTAGATTGAGTGGAAGAGATGAATCAAAGCCCACAGGGAACATACCATCTGAAAGCAGAGGAAGAGGAAGTCAGCCCCAGCCAAATTGAGGACATAGACAGAAAAGGCATTCCTGTGCATGTGAAAGCTCAGAAGCCACAGCACGACAGCATTTCCTGCCAGCCCAACCATGGCAATGATGTTGATAAGGAAAATTAGGGTAATGAACACAATGTCACATGATGAAGTTGGAGTGTGGTCACTTCCATTCACTGTTGTGATTTCAGTCCCCAGGGCTGAGATGGTTGTATCCATGCTTAGGAATGCTCCTCTAGTGGTCCTAAAAAGAAAAACAAAACATGAGTGCATGCGGAGTAATCCCTGATTCTCAGGATAACCCTGCTCTGTGGGATTGGCTGACCCTGATTTACAATGGAGAAGGAAGCATGTTTCTAGAGATTAGTTTATCAAAATCAAAAAGTTCTGTAAGTTTCATTTAAAATCAATTTCTGTTCATTTTAGGTATATACAATAGATGCCCTCTACTGATGAGTACTTGATGGCCCCAATACAGCCCTTCAGCATCTTAGGATGTATCTGAAAGAGGAACCTGAACACATGGTTCTTTCTGTCCTGGGGCTCTTCTCTGGTGCAGGAATGTGGAAGTCATAGTAAATGTGAGCAATGACTGCCTTCAGTCACTGGGAAGATTGGCTATCAAATGGGATAATGTGGAAATCCTAATTGGAGTGGTGAAGGGAAGTTACTATTTCCTAAGGCAGGTGTGACAGCAGCCAGACTTATTAGGCCAGAATGGCTGGGTCTTTGAAACTAAGAAACAGAGAAGCCTTGCAGGGCATCATGCACTTTTCTACTGTCCATCACTATATCACAAGTGGTCTCTTTCTATATATGAGCAAAGTGGCTAGTTAAGAAATTTGTATTTAGCAAATGAATATGTGAATCATAATCCCAAACATAGTTGAAATTTTAGAGTAAATGTTTTGCAAATATTTTCATGTGTGATGAAATGTCTATGGCATTTGTGGCTTTTGCCTTTATAAGTTAGTTTCACCCTCCTCTCGGGGCTATTGGTCCTAAATCTGACTATGGGACCACGGATAGCTATGGAACAAGCTGGATCTGATCTGGAAACTTCTTCCTAACCAGCTGGCTTCCATAATCCCAGAAGGTTCTGTGAAGCCTACTAGAGGACAAACATCAATGGCCTCACTCAGCTGTGAGTCCTACCATCTATTTGTCCAATGTATCAGAAAAGATGTGCACAGTTTTACATTGCTGACATTGTTGTTGAGGGGGTAACCAACTGTTTCCTGACTGGATTTGGGATCCACTGCAATGGAAAGAGTGTGTGCCTGGTACTGGAATACTGGTCAAAAATTAATTGGGGGGAGCACATAGGAACTATGTAGAAACTGAATAGTTGTCTAGCTAAATTGACATAGCATCGATCTGCCTACTACATATTCAAGTTTTTAACGCATGTATAAGCACTACTATCAGCCTTAATCAGAGAAGTGTCTCTTTCCAGAAAATGGTAGTGGAACAGGAGATTCGCACTGCATGAGATAGTGAGAATAAGTGACAGATGATTGCTCAAACCTAAGCCATTCAGTTCTCCTAGCTCTTCCAAGGCTCAGAAATATTTCAGAAATGGATCAGAAAGAGTTTAAGTCAGAAAATAAGAAAAGTGCTTCAAAATAACATCATCTGGTCAAGACAGTCAATCCCACGACACACTCACAAGGGTGCACTGGGTCTTCACAAAAATCTTCCTGTCAAAAGCCAGGCACAGAAGGAGGAAAGCTTTGGGGAACCCTTACCCCTCACTGCTGAAATATTTGCTAACAATAGATTTAGGAGAGAAAAAGTCATTGCTTTCAGTTATGTACCTACTGATGAACCTACTGAGTTCCAATAAATTATTCAAGTCTTCCAATTGTCACAAAGATTAAATTAGTCACCTAACAAAACCAAAACTTATATATCTGTAAAAGAGACTGGTAAGGATGGAAGAAGAGATTGACAGGGATAGTGGGAAGGCAAGAGAGAGAGGGAGAGAGAGAGAAAGTAAGAAGAATATAATCAATACATGAACAAAATTATCAAATAAAATTAGTCAATAAAAAATACCAGCCAGCAGGTGATTGAGAAGACACAGCTACAACCTACAATCACAGCAACAATAAGCTCTGAGTTCTGGTAACTTATTCTTCATTAATAGAGATAAAGCTCCATCGCTTTTTCTTGGATTTGGGTGGGGTGCAACATCTCATGTAACTTTCCCTACATATAATCATACTGGTAACCCCACCCTTAACTATATTCTTTGCAGCCATTTCTTTTTAGACCATCTATTTCCTACTAAAATTAATAACAACACAAAGGAATAGAAACTTTCCAAGGCAAGACAAACAGGTGACTGGAATTATTTAGAGGACTTTGATTTTAGAAATGATGCTTGTATGTATATTTTTTCTTAACTTGAGGAAAGTGACAGCAAATTTGAACAAATGGGATGAGAGAAGAATGAGGAGAAAACACAGGAAGAGAAAACCGTCTTGGTTCACAGACTTCAAATTTCCCATAGTCAAGACAGCCAGACCACAAAGCTGCCAAGAGGAACGCTCTTGTCTCCTGTATGTGCAGGAGTACCTGAGGGTGCTTCGAGTCTCCATTTCACAGTGAAACTACATAGTCATGGGCTAAGAACAATAGAATTTTTACAGTGAGTCTTGAAAAGCATCTTACCTTTCCCCCGTTCTTCTTACTAGAAGTGGTAACTGCTCGGTGGCCAAGGTAAGGGTTTCCTGAGTTTGGCATCAATACAAAACACGTCTCTTCCCAAGAGAGGTTACTGCAGAAACTGAATCCTGGAGCTTGAGGACAGCTTATCAAGATGGCAGAGAAGCCTGTGGTTTCCTGTACGTGGTTCTGTGGGAAAATGTGTGTCACTCCTTAGTCATGCTCTTCATAGCTTATTCTCAGCATTTGGTCTATTATTGTCTTTTGTCCTCAGCCTGTACCAACCCCGTCAACTCTCTTTTCTTTGTTAGTGATTGTTGTTTAGGAACTATTTTCAGCCGAACACCCAGCAATGCGGAATAACAGGAGCAAGTACTGGGAGCCAATGCAACTAAAAGCCAAATTTCCTGTCTTGTTACTCAAATAAAGAAAGGTCCTTCTGAGCTAGACCACACATTTTCATTATCATAACAGCAGCATATAATAAATTTTAGCAAATGATAAAGACTAAATAAAAATTTTGAATTCCATTTTTGAGAATCAACAATTGGTTCTAACTTCTATCTAACTTCTTTAACTAATTATAAATATAAATTAGAATAGTAAACTAATATTTTAGTCAACAAAATACTTAATTGGTTGCCCATCAAAGTTGAAAAGGGTTCAAGATATGATAGATGTGGAAAAATCCAAAGTGGAATTCAAATACCTATAATTAAAATTATAGTTGTTCTCATGGAAAAAGTAGACAATGTGAAAACAGATAGATTGTAAAACAGGGAGAAAGATAGTGAGAAAGGAAATGTTAGATAAAAACACTAAGAGAAAGAAAGAATATCATTCTTGAATGTCCATCAGTTGACTTGAACACACTCTGGAAAAGAACAAGAAATTGAAACTATAAGTTCACGGAAGAAAGATGATAGAAATTTTACCAAGTGAAATCAAGAGAAAAGTTAAGAAGGATAAAGTTATATAGGTTGTTCATTCTCTGTGGTACAATTACAAAATATATTACTTGCACTTAATGGAAACAAGAGAATGAGGAGACAGAGCGATAGGAAGAGAGGACATGTTTTAAATAACATTCATTGAGAATTTTCCAAAATTATCAGAAACAAAGCCCCAGATTCAGTAACATAAGAAAACAGAAGCCAAGATAAAAGCAACAGTAAGAGAGGCATGTGTCTTTACAAAATTAAAGACGAGAATCTTGAATGTCTCCAAAGGATGCTCTCCTCCTCAGAATCTATGAAAAAAAGAACATGGAGTAGTAGTCTGCAAGAAAAGAACTAACAGCACAGGCTGTGCACCTGCTGACTCATCCTTCAAAGGTGAAGGCACATAGAGAATGTGAACCAAAACTTGGGAGAATTTACCAAAATTCCTGCTTTGCTAGATACCGTTTTGTTAAACTTTTACAAAAACTTTATTGAGAATTTCATACATGCATATAAGATGTTTTGATCAAATCCATTCCCACTCCCTCCTCTCCAACATTCCCCCCTCTGAAGAGGTAACCCTAAAATCTTTTAAGGATTAGATACAACCTCCCAAATATTTTTGACATTTTGACATTTTTGGCGTTTGGAACAGAGTGTGTTGCTAACTGGCCCAAGGACATTTTGGCTTTTATCCCAGCAACTGGCTGCATTTCTTTGGGATCTTTTTACCCTAACTGCCTAGGCAATCCCTACCTCCTATTCTTTGTTAGATACCTTTTTAAAAGAATATTTTATTGCTTCCTTAATAATTCCAAATCATAATATGTCCTTGGGGGCTTCAGGTCACTTATATTGATCTTAGCTCTCCCTATACCTTTGCAAAGAGTCTGCACTGAAGGTTTCTAATTTTTCAATTAGGACAGATTTCCTTTATTTATTTTTAAATTGATTATATCTTGCTATGTTTCAAGGTTAGTACATAATACTTGCCTTTGTTTCCCAGGATTTGAGACTACAGGTGTGTGCCTCAGAGCCTGGATTTCATGCTTGTTTTTTTTTTTTTTTACTTTTCTTAAATTGAATTTTTGATATTTCCAAACAATATAGTTTGATGACACTTAGATCCCCTCCTACATCTGCATTGCCCACCACTCAATTTAATGAACTATCTTCATGCATTCTATAATACATGTCAAGATCCATAGAGTCAAGTTTGTATACCCAGATGTCCAGAGGTGTGAGTTCATCCACTGGAGCCTGTTCAACCTATCTAGTATCACACCCTTAAAGAATATCAACTCTCCCTCATCCAGCAGTGATCACCCACCAATAGTTCCTAAGCTAAGGTTGCAGGCTCCTGCCCATTTCCTCAATTCTATGCTGAGTTTTTATTTGTCTGATTGAGTTTGTGTGGGTCTTGCACATACAGACGCTGTTGCTATTGCTGTAAGTTCATAAGAGCCAGTTTCCAGAGATCTGAAAGGCTCTGTTTACTTATGGTGATACTCCAACCATGGCTTTTACAATCTTTCTGCCCCCTCTTCCACAATGGTCCCTGAGCCCTTTGTGGATGGTTTAGTATAGTAGTCATATCCAGGGACACAC